GGGGCACCCCGAGGACTCCAGCGCGCACTGAAAGGATTATTCGGGGAGATCCTCGGGGTGCCCGGCCCTGGGGAGCTCAAAGCAAGGTCCCTGCCATGGATTCAGGCATTGCTGAGAGTATCCCAGGTGTAGCTGTCCATGCTAGACATGGAGCTCTCTAATGGGCTGTAATTGGGTTCTAAAAGTGGTGCTCCAACTGCAAAGGAAGTGTGGGATTGGGATTAAGAAACGAGCAGTGATGGTCCAATTGGCTGTTTTCTCTTGAATGTAATGGTAAGAACTCCAGGAATGCAAGGTGTGTGTTCCAGTCCCCAGCATTTGGTTTGCACATGTCCTGGTCAGACACAGGTCCAACTTCCTCAGTCCTTAACCCAATCGAGGGAGAATTAAGGACTGGCAGTGTTAAGGTGATTGGTGTGACAGGGGTTAAACTGGGAAAAACAAATTGGGGAATTGCTCAGTTTCCCTATTTACCAAACTCACCCAAACCTGTGCTAGGAAGAGATTGAGTAGAAAAGTTGAGGAAGAAATGAAATGGAAAACTGGGGATATTGAAACTGTAATTGCTGGAACTAAATGTGTCCAAGCAGCAGCTCTTGTTGTGCAGGGAATAACTCCTGTCAGCAGCAAGGTCCCGACTGAAGTGGCAGCTGCAGTTGTTCCTGTGGTGTGGGCCAGTGGAGTTCCAGGAGAGTGGAAGAGGGCAGAACCTGTAGGTATTACCCCTGATGTGGGATCTCTATGGGTAAGGCAAACCCAGTGTCCTTTAAAATGAGAATGCCAGACTGGATTGGTTGCAGTAACAGCTAAATTGGCTCATCCTGGTTTGCTTGTAGGATGTAAATGCAAGAACCTGCCAAGAAAAGCAGTGGCCAAGATGATTGATTAGTGCAGGACCTGAGAGAACCACCTTGAATGACAATCTCGACGAGTTTCCAGTACTGGATTTAAAAGATGGCCTTTGCTGCATCTCCTTGAGCAAGGAAAGCCAAGAAACCTTTGCTTTTGAAGGAGAAAATCTGGAAAGGAAGAAGAGAACTGCCCATGAACTACCTTCCTGGGAATGGTAGGACGGGGTGGACTCTGGATTGCTCCCTCTGGGTGTGTGATAAGACTGTTATACCAGCTTTTAAGAACAGCCTGTAAGCATTTGCTGCCTTGGCTAGATGGTGCAAGGGAAGCCTTTAAGCAGCTAAAGCATTCCCTGAGGAGAGCTCTGGGTGTGCCAGATCTCTCAGAACTGTTGGAAGCATCTTTGCTGGGGAGGGCAAACAAAGGACAAGGTGTGCAATGACCCCCCTGACAAGGGACTTTGAGTTAATGGCATCCCTGCAAGTGAACTTTGTGGGCTGTTCCCCCTGTAGGGCAGGTGATAGTCCCAGCTAGAGTGATGGGAAAAATGGTTAAAAGGGAGCCCCAAAAGCTGGAAATCCTCCTGGAGGCTCTTGGCAAAGAGAGTTTCCTGAGTTGCCCCTGAAAGAAGGATAGTGACAGCTTTTGAGTGCTGGTAGATGCTTTTAATAGATAGCCTTGAGTGTGTCCTTGTTGCACCAGTAGGCCTTGTCCAAGTCCCCATATTCCAGGAGATATACCTATTGAAGTTTCAGATGATCTCCATAATCCTTTGTTGGCTTGAGGCTCTCCCCTCAGGAACTGCAGGAACTCCTGGTGCCGCCTGGGCCGATGGATTGGACGCCCCAGCCCCTCCGTTCCTGCCCAGCCACTGGGGCCGTGTCCAGTGGTGGCACTGCCAGCCCTGCAGGTGAAGTGGGAAGGGCCTTTCCAGGTCTTGTGGGTCACATCTATAGCACCTAAAGTTTTCAGAAAGAGGATGTTGAGTCTCTTCTTCTTGAGTTCAGAAAGCTCCTTTTGGTTGGTGAGCAGAACAAAGCGGATCCTTCAGAGTTCCCATCCGTGTTTGTGTCTCAGCCTGTGTTATGATTCAGGGCTGTAGCTGTTGTTGTCACTGAGGAGTCAAACTCTGCTTTAAATCATGAGACCCTGGCCTAATGGCCAAGTGTTAAGAAAAAAGTGGGAATGATATGTGAGTGTTGAGATGTAACAAGAGCTAATCCTTTTTGCAGTGGGATGTAGCCTGGAAACTGCACAGAGCTGAGCCAAGGGACTTAAAGGGACTAACCAATGGAGATGAAGAAAGAAGGAAGAAGGGAAGTGAGGCAGCAACCAAGCAGCACCAATTGCCTGTGTCAGCAGGTGAGTTCTCTTGAAATTCCTAAGGCAGGCACTGAGGACTTTGAGGGCTCCAGACAGAGCAGAGCTGCGAAGGCCCTCGGTGAAGTCCCTTGGAAACCTTGTAAGGGTAGGTGTGTATGGTAGTAAGTGCTGGAAAATGTCCTGAATGTGGAACAGGAATGCAGGGAAGGAAAATGAACCCTCATGTAATGCTGACGCCTCCCATCAGCTGCAGTGGAGATAGCTGTGTGTGCCCTTTGGGAGCTGATTGCCAGGACACCCAGTGGGCTGGGATCATGGCAGGGTGTTATAAGCAAGGAATGCCTGGCTTCTAAACCTCACCAGCTGAGTCTTAGAGACTTCTTTGAAGAGCTGAGTTCAGGCAGCAGAATTGCCCCCCAGGAGGGACTCTGTGCCTGCTCTCCCGTGGCTCCAAGGGATCTCTGGGCCTTCACGCCGGCACCGAGATTTTCTCGGGAAGGGCCTCAGATCCCCGGACCAGTCTGGGACACAGGCAAGATCCCCCTGCATTTTGGGACCAAATTGGGCCCCCTGGAGGGACAGTGCTGTTGGTGCCCCCCGGGTTGGGGCACCCCGAGGACTCCAGCGCGCACCGAAAGGATTATTCGGGGAGATCCTCGGGGTGCCCGGCCCTGGGGAGCTCAAAGCAAGGTCCCTGCAATGGATTCAGGCATTGCTGAGAGTATCCCAGGGGTCCCTGTCCCTGCTAGACATGGAGCTCTCTAATGGACTGTAATTGGGTTCTAAAAGTGGTGCTCCAAGTGCCAAAGAAGTGTGGGATTGGGATTAAGAAATGAGCAGTGAGAGTCCAATTGGCTGTTTTCTCTGGAATGTGACTGTGAGAGCTGCAGGAGTGCAAGGTGTGTGTTCCAGTCCCCAGCATTTGGTTTGCACAGGTCCTGGTCAGACACAGGTCCAACTTCCTCAGTCCTTAACCCAAGAGAGGGAGAATGAAGGACTGGCAGTGTTAAGGTGATTGCTGTGACAGGGGTTAAACTGGGAAAACGTTGGGTAATTCCTCAGTTTCTCTATTTGCCAAACTCACCCAAAACTCTGCTAGGAAGAGATTGAGTGGAAAAGTTGAGGCAGAAATGAAATTAAAAACTGGGGATATTGGCACTGTAATTGCTGGAACTAAATGTGTCCAAGCAGCAGCTCTTGTTGTGCAGGGAATAACTCCTGTCAGCAGCAAGGTCCTGACTGAAGTGGCAGCTGCAGTTGTTCCTGTGGTGTGGGCCAGTGGAGTTCCAGGAGAGTGGAAGAGGGCAGAACCTGTAGGTATTACCCCTGATGTGGGATCTATATGGGTAAGGCAAACCCAGTATCCTTTAAAATCAGAATTCCAGCTTGGATTGGTTGCAGTAACAACTAAATTGGCTCATCCTGGTTTGCTTGTAGGATGTGAATGCAAGAACCTGCCAAGGAACCAATGGCCAAGATGATTGATGAGTGCAGGACCTGAGAGAACCACCTTGAATGACAACCTTAGGTTTAAAAGATGGCTGTTGCTTTTGAAGGAGAAAATCTGGAAAGCAGGAAGGAAGAAAAGAAGTCACCTGACTCTTCCCTGAGCCCCAGACAGCCCATGAACTGCCTTCCTGGGAATGGTAGGACGGGGTGGACTCTGGATTGCTCCCTCTGGATGTGTGGGAAGATGGTTTTACCAGCTTTTAAGAACAGCCTGTAAGCATTTGCTGTCTTGGCTAGATGGTGCAAGGGCAGCCTTTAAGCAGCTAAAGCATTCCCTGAGGAGAGCTCTGGGTCTGCCAGATCTCTCAGAACTGTTGGAAGCATCTTTGCTGGGGAGGGCAAACAAAGGACAAGGTGTGCAGTGACCCCCCAACAAGGGACTTTCAATTAATGGCATCCCTGCAAGTGAACTTTGTGGGCTGTTCCCCCTGTAGGGCTGGTGATAGTCCCAACTAGAGTGATGGGAAAAATGGTTAAAAGGGAGCCCCAAAAGCTGGAAATCCTCCTGGAGGCTCTTGGCCAACAGAGTTTCCTGAGTTGCCCCTGAAAGAAGGATAGTGACAGCTTTTGAGTGCTAGTAGATGCTTTTAATAGATAGCCTTGAGTGTGTCCTTGTTGCACCAGTAGGCCTTGTCCAAGTCCCCATATTCCAGGAGATATGCATATTGAAGTTTAAAATGATCTCCATAATCCTTTGTTGGCTTGAGGCTCTCCCCTCAGGAACTGCAGGAACTCCTGGTGCCGCCTGGGCCGATGGATTGGACGCCCCAGCCCCTCCGTTCCTGCCCAGCCACTGGGGCCGTGTCCAGTGGTGGCACTGCCAGCCCTGCAGGTGAAGTGGGAAGGGCCTTTCCAGGTCTTGTGGGTCACATTTATAGCAGCCAAAGTTGCAGAAAGAGGATGTTGAGTCTCTTCTTCTTGAGTTCAGAAAGCTCCTTTTGGTTGGTGAGCAGAACAAAGTGGATCCTTCAGAGTTCCCATCCGTGTTTGTGTCTCAGCCTGTGTTATGATTCAGGGCTGTAGCTGTTGTTGTCACTGAGGAGTCAAACTCTGCTTTAAATAATGAGACACTGGCCTAATGGCCAAGTGTCAGGAAAAAAGTGGGAATGATATGTGAGTGTTGAGATGTAACAAGAGCTAATCCTTTTTGCAGTGGGATGTAGCCTGGAAACTGCACAGAACTGAGCCAAGGAATTTAAAGGGACCAACCAAGGGAGGTGAAGAAAGAAGGAAGAAGGGAAGTGAGGCAGTAGCCAAGCAGCACCAAGTGCCTGTGTAAGCAGGTGAGTTGTGTTGAGGTTCCTAAGGCAGGCACTGAGGACTTTGAGGGCTCCAGACAGAGCAGAACTGCGAAGGCCCTCGGTGAAGTCCCTTGGAAACCTTCTAAGGGTAGGTGTGTATGGTAGTAAGTGCTGGAAAATGTCCTGAACGTGGAACAGGAATGCAGGGAAGGAAAATGAACCCTCATGTAATGCTGACCCCTCCCATCAGCTGCAGTGGAGATATCTGTGTGTGCCCTTTGGGAGCTGATTGCCAGGGCACCTAGTGGGCTGGGATCATGGTAGGGTGTTGTAAGCAAGGAATGCCTGGCTTCTAAACCTCACCAGCTGAATCTTAGAGGCTTCTTTGAAGAGCTGAGTTCAGGCAGCAGAATTGGCCCTGCAGGAGGGACTCTGTGCCTGCTCTCCCGTGGCTCCAAGGGATCTCTGGGCCTTCACGC